AGAAGGGGTTAGCAAAGTACAGCCAATGGAATGAATCTATCCAGCCTGCCACATATGTGTACATCCTGTGAGATAAGGATGGAACTTACATTTTAAAAATTGTTGAAAAAATAAGAATAATATTTTGAAAGGTGTGAAAATTATATTACATTCAAATTTCAATGTCTACAAATAATGTCTTATGGGGACAAATCCATGCTGTTTCATTTACATATTATCTCTGACTGCTTTTGTGCTACAACAGCAGAGTTGAATAATTGTGACAGAGACCTTATGGCTTACAAAACTTAAAATATTTATTATCTGTCCTCTACAGAAATGTTCACTCACATGTGCCCTAGAGGAAACTAAAATACTAGAAATAGATTAGCAATTTTATTAATAAGTACTTGAGGTATTCCTGAAAACCAGAACAAGAAGATATGTTAATTTTTGGATCAGAAACACAATTCTTCCCTACTTCCATTTCCCTAATTCTTTCTTCTATGGTACCATCAAGATCTCTAACAGGATAGAGTGCTATAATAGGACAGCAGATTCCTCAATGTGTTATAAGAATCTGATACTTCCTGCTACCTTAATGACTCACTGTGACTCACGTTACTGTCATCCCCCAATTGATCTTACGGCTTTCACCCTTGTCTGCCAGTCAACTTCCCAGTATAGTAGCTACAGGTATCCTTTTAAAGTTTCAGTCAGATTGGATCACTCTGGTTAAGATCCACCAATGATTCCTCATCTTGTTTAAGCCAAAGTCATTACAGTGCCTTTCCAAGGAAGGCCTTAGAACCTGTCCCTTCATAGCTCTCTGATAGCTTCTCTTTATCTCTTTACACTCCAGCTGCATGTGATTTCTTGTTTTTCTTCAAAGAGTTCAGAAATGTTTCTATCACAGAGTGGTTTGCTCATTGTCCTCTCTGCCTGAGATACTGCCTTTTAGATAGCTACCTGGCTAATTCTCTCACCTCTTTCATGTTCTATTTTTTAGTTCTATCAGTTGCTGAGAATGGGGTTTTGAATTCCCAGCTGTAATTGTGAGTTTTATTGTTTCTCTTCTCATTCCTATTAGTTTTCTTTCCCATATTTTTTAAAGCTCTGTTTGTTGCATACATATTTGGAATTTCTATGTCTTCTTGGTGTTTTGATTTTTTATCTTACTGTCATGTCCCTCTTTGTTTCTGGTAAGTTTTGCTTTGAGGTCTACTTTTTGTGATATTAATTTACTCACGCTTGCTTTTAAAAAATTGATACTTTCATAGTATAGATTTTATATTCTTTTACTTTTTTATAATTTCATAGTTGGATCATTAAAAATATACTATGCTAATTTTTTAGTAAAGCATTTTTAAAGCAGTTTTAAGTTCACAGCAATTTTAAGAAGAAAGTATGATTTCCCATATTCCTTCTACTGCTACAGATGCACAACCTTCTGCATTATCAATATCCCCCACCAGAGTGGTACATTTGTTAAACTGACAAACCTAGATTGACATTATCATACTACCAAAGTCTGTAGTTTACATTTTGATTCACTTTTTTTATCTTTGTCTGATTTATTTCACTTATCATAATATCCTCTAGATCCATCCATGTTACAAATGGAAATATTTCATTTTTATGGCTGAGTAGGATTGCAGCCATGAAATTAAAAGATGCTTATTCCTTGAAAAGAAAGTTATGACCAACCTAGACAGCATATTAAAAAGCAGAGACATTACTTTGCCTACAAAGGTCTGTCTAGTCAAGGCTATGGTTTTTCCAGTAGTCATGTATGGATGTAAGAGTTGGACTATAAAGAAAGCTGAGCGCCGAATTGATGCTTTTGAACTGTGATGTTGGAGAAGACTCATGAGAGTCCTTTGGACTGCAAGGAGGTCCAACCAGTCCGTCCTAAAGGAGATAAGTCCTGGGTGTTCATTGGAAAGACTGATGTTGAAGCTGAAACTCCAATACTTTAGCCACCTGATGTGAAGAACTGACTCATTTGAAAAGACCCTGGTGCTGGGAAAGATAGAAGGCAGGAGGAGAAGGGGACGACAGAGGATGAGATGGTTGGATGGCATCACCGACTCAATGGACATGAGTTTGAGTAAACTCCGGGAGTTGGTGATGGACAGGGAGGCCTGGTGTGCTGCAGTCCATGGGGTTGCAAAGAGTCGGACATGACTGAGCAAATGAACTGAACTGAATATTCCATTATATATATATATGTATATATATCTTTAAAAAATAATTTAATTGGAGGCTAATTACATTACAATATTGTAGTGGTTTTTGCCATAAATTGACGTGAATCAGCCATGGGTGTACATGTGTCTCCCATCATGAACCCACCTCCCACTTCCCTCCCCATCCCATCCCTCAGGGTTGTCCCGATGCACGGCTCTGAGTGTCCTGTTTCATGCATATGATTCACTTTTAGTGTGATATATTCTATGGGTTTGGGGAAATGTTTAGTGACATATATAGCATTATATTATCATACACAGTATTTCATTGCACTCAAAATTATTGTGGTCTACCTATTCATGTTTCCTTACACCTTTCCCCACTCCACACCTCACCCCTGGCAATGACTGACATTTTTACTGTCTCCATAATTTTGTCTTTCAAGAATGTCTTATAGTTGGGATCATACAGTATACTTCTCTTGTGGCTCAGACGGTAAAAGCATCTGCCTACAATGTGGGAGACCCGGGTTCAATCCCTGGGTTGGGAAGATCCCCTGAAGAAGGAAATGGCAACCCAGTCCAGTATTCTTGCCTGGAAAATCCCATGGACAGAGGAGCCTGGCAGGTTATACAGTCAATGGGGTCGCAAAGAGTAGGACACAACTGAGCGACTTCACTTCACTATACAGTATATAGCTTTTTCAGATTGGCTTCTTTTATTTAGTAATATTCATTTAAGTTTCCTCTCTGTCTTTTCATGATTTTATAGCTCATTTATTTTTAGTGTTGAATGATATTCCATTTCCTGGAAGTACCACAGTCTGAAGAACATCTTGTTTGCTTCCAAGTTTTGACAATTACAGATGAAGTTGCTATGAACATCTGTGTGCAGGTTTTAGTGTAGACATATGTTTTGAATCCCTTGAGTATATACCAAGGAGCATGATTGCCAAATTGTATGTTAAGAGTATGTTTATACTTATAAGAAACTGCCAAATTGTCTTCCAAGATGGCTATACCATTTTGCATTTCCATCAGCACAGTTGCTTCATATACCTGTCAGCATTTGATATTGTCAGTATTCTGATTTTTGACCATTCTAAATAGATATGCAGTGGTATTTAACTTTCAATTTGCATTCGTTGGTGACATATGATGTTGAACATCTTTTTTAATGTTTATCTGCCATCCATATATCTTCTTTGGTGAGGTATCTGTTAAGGTCTTCAGCTCATTTTTTTTTTTTCAGCTCATTTTTTAACTGGTTTTCTTATTATTGAATTTTAAGAGTTCTTTGTATGTTTTGGGTTACAGTGTCTTTGCAAATACTTTTTGTCAGTCCATGGCATATCTTCTAATTCTCTTGATAGTGCCTTTGCAGAGGAGAAAACTTTAAAGAAGTCATCTTATCAATTATTTCTCTTATAAATTCTGCTCTTAGTTTTGTATCTAGAAAGTTATTGCCATTCCCAACATCACCTAGATTTACTCCTATGCTATCTCTAAGGAGTGTTAAAGTTTTGGGTTTTATATTTAGGGATGTGATCCATTTTGAGTTAAGTAAGATCTGGGTCAAGGTTCATTTTTTGCAAGTGCATGTGCAGGTGTTGCAACACAATTTGTTGAAGTTTACCTTTGCTCCAGCATATTGTGTTTGCTTGCTTGTCAAAGATTAGTTGACTCTATATATGCAAGTAAGGCTATTTATGGGCCATCTGTTCTGTTCTACTGATCTATTTATTTGTTTTTTTCACCAATACCACACTGTCTGGATTACTGTAGCTTTATATATAAATCTTGAAGTTGGGTAGTGTTGATCCTCCAATTTTGTTCTTCTCTTTCAATATATTATATTGGCTATTCTGTGTCTTTTGCCACTTCATATACACTTTAGAATCAGTTTTTCAGCATTTACAAAATATCTGCCTAGGATTTTGATTGAAACTGCATTGAATCTATAGATTACTTTGAGAAGAACTGACATCTTGGTTATATTGGATTGTTCTAGATATGAACATGGATTATCTTTCCATTTATTTAGTTATTTGATTTAATTAATCAGAATTGTGTAATTTTTGTTTTTCAGTTGATCCAGTCAGACCAACTCTTTTGGGAAAATGGAGACGTATTCATTTTTTAAACGTTTGCCTGAGTATGACATAAGTTCCTCTTCTGTTCTTTCAAGGGGGGGAGCCTCAGAAAAGGCTTCTACAGTAGTGCTCCTAACATTTACTCTCTGAGAAGCAGTGGTGGTTCAGGTTTAGAGATGAAGGAAGGGACAAAGATCAACTTTTCTTTCTATATTCAACTTATTTTAATTAGTTTTTCTTTGTTTACATTGTGCATCTGTCCTTCCTTATACTCTCAACTTACTCATATTTTCTAATTTTATTTTTCCACCTTTCATCTTTTGGAATTTTGTTTTGTTACCCTATATTTCAGATTAAAATATAAAATTGTTATTATGTTATATCCATGGTCTTTGTGGTGATCTGACTTCAACATATTTTGCCAGCATTGTTTCCCTTTGTTTCTATTCTATAACTTAATTCTCTAACCAAAGGAACAATTTTTTTCTTTATCCTTGACATATGGTTTCCTGTTTCTTTAGGCCTTTAATTTACAGCCTTCCTCCCTAAATCCCCCCAAACCCAACAACCCCCTAAACTATTTGCAACCTAAAGTAATACTAAAAGTTGTGGAGGAAAAGTGGTGGAAAATAGTGACTCAGGGTTCAGACTAGTCAGATGTTAAAAGTATCAGGGCAAATAAAGGAACACAGGTATTACAGATGGCCGGAGGAAACTGAGAAAGATGATTAGAACTTACCAGCTGCCACTGGACCAATTACTAAAAAAGTAAAATAAAACAAATTATTATTAAAAAAAAATGATGTACTTGGTTTCCATTGAAAACCCCACTAGGAACATCAGAAGAGGGACTTTTGGGAAACATCACATCTTATATCAATATTCTATTCTGTATTAACTCCACTTGAATATCCTAAATATCTAGATTATTATTATTTTTTGTTATTGTTCAAGTTGCTAAGTCGTATCTGACTCTGCAAACCCATGTCAAATTAATGTCCATTGAGTTGGTGATGCCATCCAACCATCTCATCCTCTTGTTGTCCCCCTCTCCTCCTGAACTCAGTCTTGCCCAGCATCAGGGTGTTTTCCAATAAGTAAACTTTTCACATCAGTGGCCAAAGTATTGGAGTTTTAACTTTAGTATCAGTCCTTCCAGTGAATATTCCAGGTTGATTTCCTTTAGGATTTCCTTTAGGAAGGCCTATTTAATGGGTTATATGAGTGAGATTCACTTTTCTAATGAAATAATTTTTGCTTTCAAGATTCTTAACTAGGCCAAGAGTCACAATCTTTTAAGGAGAATGATCACCAACCAGTTCAAGATTACTATTTTAGGTTTCTCTTCTTTTTTTTGTCTTTCAATATTCTCTCTCCATTTTAAAACCTCTAACCACCATGTCAGCTCTCATCATATTCCTTTTGCAGTGGAGAACGTTTATTTATAATTGTCAATTTAAAACTTTTTGTCATAATTTTTCAATTTTTTTTTCTTTCTGATAACCTCTGGGTTTTAACCAGAAATTTTAAATATGGTTTAGTAAGTAGCATGTGTGAAACATGTAACCATTTAAGATTAGAGTTCTTACTTGCACCTCTTTCAAGGGTATAGAACAGGGAAAATCCAGGGTCGGTTATAATGACAAACGAAAAGTCTCAGGAGCTTCAATTCCTAATCTTTTATAGGCCTAAGTCTTTCATATGTTTAGAGTGGGCAAATGGAGTTGAGTTAAGCTCCTCTTACTTTTCTTTATGAAAATTTTAAGTATTTATTTAAATTTTGCTCCTTCTACTTTTTTCTACTTCAGAATCTAATCTCATAATATGTCTGTTCTGTTCTTCACTTTCCATTATATAATTCTTCTAAGTCCATCACCTAATTTACTTATTCCTTGTCTTATCTTGAAAATATTTGAGCTAAAACTTTTGCTATTTTAGGACATTTTTTCTATTAAAAATAAGGCCATATTATGTCTGTTCTCTTTATTCTTTGCATGAATATATTTCTCACTTAATATCAATAATTTTGGGAAATACAGAAAAATTTAAAAGCAAAGGAGATGGGGAAATATGTTACTTAGATTTTGCATTAATAAAAGTGATTATAGCCAATCAAAGCATGGGACTGGAACCCTGTGGGGGCCAAAGGACACTAGGATTGCTAACCAAACAGCATGTTGGTGGGTTTGGAAAAGAACTCTACCCAACCTAACACAAAACTCAAGCTTCCAAAAATTCAATTACTCATCAGATTCTCTATAGTGGAAGAGGAAAAATTCCTGAGACCACTTTCTCTTCTAAGAAGGAAGCTGCAATGTAACATCATAAACCAACATCTCTACTGTTTTTGTCCAATAATTGAGGGTTGAAGGACAAATGTGGAGGCATTAGTATACCCACAGTTCAGTTCAGTTCAGTTGCTCAGTTGTGTCCGACTCTCTGTGACCCCATGAATTGCAGCACACCAGGACTCCCTGTCCATCACCAGCTCCCAGAGTTTACTCAAACTCATACCCATCAAGTCGGTGATGCCATCCAGCCATCTCATCCTCTGTCGTCCCCTTCTCCTCCTGCCCCCAATCCTTCCCAGTATCAGAGTCTTTTCCAATGAGTCAACTCTTCCCATGAGGTGGCCAAAGTATTGGAGTTTCAGCTTTAGCATCAGTCCTTCCAATGAACGCCCAGGACTTATCTCCTTTAGGATGGACTGGTTGGATCTCCTTGCAGTCCAAGGGACTCTCAAGAGTCTTCTCCAACACCACAGTTCAAAAGCATCAATTTTTCAGTGCTCAGCTTTCTTCACAGTCCAACTCTCACATCCATACATGACTACTGGAAAAACCATAGCCTTGACTAGACGGACCTTTGTTGGCAAAGTAATGTCTCTGCTTTTTAACATGCAAACTAGGTTGGTCATAACTTTCCTTCCAAGGAATAAGCGTCTTTTAGTTTCATGGCTGCAGTCACCATCTGCAGTGATTTTGGAGCTCCCCAAAATAAAGTCTGACACTGTTTCCACTGTCTCCCCATCTATTTCCCATGAGGTGATGTGACCAGATGCCATGATCTTAGTTTTCTGAATGTTAAGCTTTAAGCCAACTTTTTCACAGTTTCATATAAATAGGAAAGCTGGGGGATGACATGCAGTTGCTATGGTAGAAGTTATTAATATCTAGATATTATTAATAGTTTACATTATCATCAAGTATTAAAATTTCAAAGTTATTATGGATAAGCATTATTTATGAATTATAAGCTAATAGTGAGTGTAAAGACTGTTATTACACTAGGTTAAAGATTTATTCTTTGCTCATAGGTCATTTAGAAAAGAGTTGAAATATAGTGATTAGAATGACTGGCCTTGTATGTGGAGGGGATATGAAAAGCTGCTGAAAAATAGACAGCTGGTGAATTTATACCTAAAATCTCATCCAAGTCAAGGTCATACTTCCACCTAGTGTATTGAACAGAGTTTGTATTAATGCTATTACTATTGAAAGTAGTAAAAATGGCCAAACATTTTATCATTTGATAAGAATAGCCAATTTCCTCACAACACTTAGAGGGCACGTAACTAACGTCAACCAAGAAGCAGCTCTGTGTGACTGCCAAATAAAGAACTAAACTCCTAGAGGTACTTTAAAATCCTGTGTCAAAACGTAAAAATAGATCTCTCTCAGGGTGTTACTTTGAAAGAGCAATGTAGTCTCTCTGACTAAAAGAGTTAGAGAGGCTATCATCCTCTAGTAACTGGAACATGAAATTTTAAGGTCTATTTTAGGAGACATAGATAAGAGGGTAAAGTATGTATATATATGCGTTTCTTAGGAAATTGAGAAAAAAGAATTTCACATTCGTTGGTAATTTTTCAAAAATTATTCCTTTTAAAAGTTCTCCACTGCAAAGTATGTTAATGTAGACCTCGAGGATAGTAGGAGAAAGGTATCAGATGTTACCACATTCGAATGTAGCTCATAATTTTCCTGCCTCTCTCTTTTGTCAACGAGATTTGACTTCCTGCTCTCATCTCTTCATCATCAGATTTTCCTCACAGCTTGACTTGCATTGATGAAATGTTTAAACTGTCACCAGCACTTGTTTCTCCCTATTTTTTTTCTGTCAATAGGGGTTTATGTTTTCCACTAATTTATAAATAAATTAGTTGTTCCAGTAATGTGGAATAATGAGAATGAGAATTTCAAATTTTCAAGGAAATGATTAAAGACAATACCAAATAAAGATAATATAAATTAAATTTTAAGAGACATTAAATAATTTACCCACAGCCACATGACTGGTAAATGTTTTAACTGAGATTTGATTGGTCTGTCTGATTCCTTTCTTAAACACTGAAATATATTACCTTTCCTTTTTTTTTAAACCAATTAGCATCATGCAAATTGTTTTGTCCCATATTTAGAATAATTTCTTGGAGCATGTATGTGGAAATGGAACTACGATTTTAAAGGATACTCTATTTTTTATATCTTGCAACATACTATACTACCTCTGCACGTTTGCTTTCTAAAAGGGTTATGTTAATTTAAATAGGATCAGTGATGTATCAATGTATAATACTTACCAAAGCAATGCTGACATTGCTTATTCTATTTAAATTTATTTCTTCTTTGGGTGAAAAATACTACCTCAGGGTTTTAATTTTCTATCCTTTATTTTTTTTAACCAGTCATTGGGCATACTATGGTTTTGAAATTCATCAGTAACTTAAGGGTACTGGGTAACGGGGAGGCAAAGTGGGTTGAAAAATGTGAATATGAAGTCCTTTACTTGAGGGCTAATTTTCAAAAAGACATTGGAATTAAGGAATAGATGAATAATAACTTACCAATAGGTACTGGAGTAACTGGCAGAACAACATGAAACAAACATATAATAGCAGAATTTTAGGATCAAGAATATAGTTACCTTCCTTGTTTTTCCAAGGCAACAGAGAGATGTTTGGAAGACACTAAACCTCCCCCAGAAAGATATCCAAAATGGAATAAGAGGAATTAGCATTTCTTTGTGGTGAAGTAGTAGTCCTAGTCTGATGCGACTGTCTTCAGTGTATTTCAATGTAGTAGAAAGGCAGACTGGGCTAATAACATAAATGCTTATGTCATTCTTTTTCTTTCTCCTCTAGTATACAGGGTTTAAATCATGTGGAGAACTTTCAAAAAATTTGAATGCTAATTGCAATTATTCTCTTTCCTCTTCTCACACCTAACATATCATACTAAGTTTCCCTCTATTTTTTATTGGTATCTCCATATTTATTATATCCCCCCTATATATCTTTCCTTTTTGTTGTGTGGAAGGTTCTTGTTATTAAAACCTCTTTGAATAGTTTTAGAAAACAAAATTTTTTTTATACTTAGTCTCAATCAAATATTTATTCTTTTTATTGAAAAATTAATAACACAGTAGGTTGCCAAGTAAAAGAGAGAAAGACTGTTTATAAATAGAATAAATGCAATTGGTCATATTTGGGAAAAAATCTCAGTTTATGATCCCAATTTGTACCAAATTTATGAAATGAAAAAGGACTTACTGATAGGTACTGCTACATGTGCTAAAATCCAAACACAAATGATTAGTATGGGTTGACGTTGATAACAGAATTGACACTGATAATAGAATTCTTACTGTTTCCAGACAAGAATTTCTGGGATGAAAAAGGAAGAGTAAGTTCCACATCTTTTACATGAGTTAGTTAAATCTTTCTTGTACAGTAACACAAACATTTTAAAAGGCTAAGAAAGGGGGAGGTTATTTTACTTTTATCATCTAATTTCTCATGGAAATTAAAATACCACAGAGCTTGGAAAAGCCTCATATCCTTTGTTAACTCTTTCATGTGAGTTTTCCCACTTTTCTCTGTCATTCCTGTCTTACATTTGTTGAAAACATATTCTTTTCTTGAAAAGTCAGTACAGCTAATTCCAAGATTTTCTTGGAATTCTTAATTATTTCTGCTTATCAGCTTCATCTTCTAGATATTATTTAATATTTCAAGTGGGAAGAAGTTGGTCTGTGTGTTTGCAAAAATTAATGAACATAAGCAGTTCCAGCTGTCAGAAATGAAGATTGACTTCACTTTCCCTGTGTTTCTCCTTGGGCAATAATGTATAGTCTCTATCGTGTCCTTATCATAAGTCTCTTAAAATATATGAAGTCTAGTTTGTTTTTAGTAGGACATTTTAACTTACTATGAAAAAAAATCAATCATGTTAATTTTTCCCACTTATCATTGTAATCTGTGCTTTGTATAGAATCATAAATATTCTAGTAGGATTCTGAGGAGAGGGTGTGAAAAATATAAATGTCAATTTTTTCCTTGAAATGGAAACAATCATTTTTAGGAAAAAGCCCACAGTGAGTGCATAACAAATACCAAACAGAAAGGAAATTTCTTAGAATTGCAGTTTTCATTAATGTAGATAATGAAAACTCTCATTGATCTAACTGATATTGTTTGGTAAATAAAGATGGAAATATACTCTATAATACTACTGAAACATATTTGTCAGATACAACAGTTCCATTTCTAGAAGTGAGAGAAATAAGCTACATTTTCTTCTTATTTTCCCCAACTTCTCTGGATGAGAAACATGTCTAGAATGATCTAATTTACATATGCACTCTAGGACAGGAGTGTCTTTTTCTATTTTTGGTCCCTGCTATATTCCCAGTGCCTGGCACATGATAAGACCTCAAATAATTATTTTTTTTGAATGAGTAAGATCTCAATGACTTTAACTTTGCCGATTCAACTTTATTTCTGTCTTATGCTTTTTAAATTTTCTACCAAAGAGAATTTATAAACTCTAATAAAAATACTAACAGTTAACACTTTTTTCCATAGGTAACAATTTACAAAAAAATAGAAAATGTTTCAAAAACATTATTTCCAACTCCAGGTCACCTTTAACCTGTTTGTTATTTGCCATTTGTGAATTTTTCACTTTCGAAATATTCATCAGTAACTAGAGGAAGTTAATCAATATTAATAGAGAAATTGAAAAACTTGAATGTCAAGGTCTTACTTGTTCAGAAAAGGATATAATCAATACAGGAACCAACCCCAGAATTGATGGATAGATATAAAACTTACTTGGTGGTTCTTGCCTTACTGTGAAAGAGAAATAAAATAATTAAATGAATGAGATGCGAAGAATGAGTTACTTCTCAAACTCTTTATGCTGGAAGTTTTAAAAAACAGAACTTTGAGAGATCACCAAACTCTCTATTTAGAATTAGTTAAATCAGTGGGAGAATAAATGTCTTCAGATTATTCTGCTCAAGTACCTTTTGAGTGCTTTTTTGGAAAGAAAGGATCAGAGAGGAATCATTGGAAGATGCTATTTCTTCCTTTTGATTTTTCTCTGCTAATTCAAACTTTCTGGTAAGATTTTTATGTCACACTTTATTGCCTCCTTACTATCATTCCTTGTTTTCTCATCACTTCTTTGGAATGATCGTATTGATTTATCATGATCATTACTGTAATTCTTATTTGCTGATTACTGTTTTGTAGATTAATTTTAGAGAAGTTCTCTTTTTCTCAGTCACATAGTATCTTAGGGCTGGTGACTCCCCATTTGAATGGGATGAAAGCAGTACTTGCTTTTAGATTCAGGTAAATAAACCTGAATTTGAATCTCAACCTCTTCTGCTCATAATTGTGGGGTCATGCATGAGCAAGTTACCTATTCTTACTACTTCCTTCTTCTTGTAGGAATAACAATATTTATCTGATATAATGTATATGCATATATAAAGCTAAGTACAGTGCCTGGTACCTTGCAAGTATGTAACAACTAGTATTTGTTATTATAGTACCCCATAGTGTACCAATTAGTTTCAATTATAGCCTCCAAATAAAAGTTTATAGTTCAAAATGAAGCAAGCTACTTAAAATATGAATAGAGAAACAAGAAGCTAGAAGGAGAGAAATACTAGAAAAAAATAAACCATAGAGTCAGAAATATAAATATTAAGCCTTGGTGAACATTCACACTAGAAATAAGGCACAAAAGGGCCTCTAGATACCATGAAACATCAGTGATAATAACAGAGTTGAGAGAAACATGGGACCTACCTTTAGATTTTTCAGGTCTTGCTTTAATAAAAAAAGCAAATGATCAAATTAGTGTGATTGTCTAATGAAACAGAAACACATTTTCACTGATATTATGATGAGCATCACAGACTGAACAATAGTGGAAAGAAAAAAAGAGTTTCTGCAAGGACCACTTGCCGTTGGAAATGTTATGGAAGAAATGGTCCATATCTAGTGATGGAGCTCACTCTTTCTTTTCCCATCTAGGTCTCTGATTTTATTTAATTATCTATTGCTTCAATTTCAGTAACTTTTTAAAAAAATTTTTTTTTCAATTTCAGTAACTTTTTTCATTTCAAAGATTTCAACTTTGTTCTTTTTTTACATCTGCTTATTCTTTTTCCAAACTGCATTAAAAATATATATAACTTCTTCTTTTATCTTTTTTAAAAACATGGATAGTCTATCTTTTATTCCCCACTAGGGAAGTCACAACTTATCAGAGGTCCCATCTTTGCTGCTTGTATGATGTTATCTTAGCTCTACCATATGCTATATGCCATATCAACTGCTTTACCGTTCTAACTTTTCTCTCTCTCCTTAACCTCTTCAATTAGACTTTTGTTTCCCCTCTATCCTATTAAGATTGCTAATAACCCTCATTTTATAAAATTCAATGACCAATTCTCAGTCCAAATTTTTGTTTCTTAAAAGTTTTAGGTGCAGTTGTTTATATACCCTTTTCATCTTGAAATACACTCTTGAGTTCTATAACCTGCTCTCCTGGTTTTCCTTCTTCCTCCATGCACACTCCTTCTTTCTATACTTTGTTAGATTTTTTTCTTCTTCTCAACCTCTAAATCTGACTTTCCTGAGCACAATTGTTAGCATTCTTATCTTTACAGGCACCATTGGTGATCAAATTTAGTCCAGTGATTTTAAATGCTATCTTTACACTATATTTGTCAAGTTTATTCTCCACCTGCTCTTTCCCTAAAGCAAGGGGAAGAGGATGTGAAAAGGGACTGTCTCTATTACCCCCACACTGACTACTGAGATAAAAATCTAAGGAAAAAGAGGCTGTAACCTCTCATATTTCCCTCCTCATACAACTTAGGTGAGACAAACCCATAGGAAGGATTGCATGACTCAGAAGCATAGTGGGAAGGGATTCCTAGAGCTGTGCAGTGCAGAGATGCTGCCCTAAGGCTTTAACAGATAATGGCCAAATTAGTTCTGTCCCACATATCATCCTTCTTCCAAGCCTCCATAAGCACACAAGTTTAAGAGGAAGGAGACTTAAAGCAATCTTCAGTGTTGTGGGTAGTTGACTAAGGAATGATGTGGGATAGGAAGGTATAGTGATTTCCTCCCTGAAAGCAAATGAGGAGGACTTCAAGAGATTTGCTTACAAAGACTGGGGTGGAGATTGTCTGTGAAAAAAGGTGTGTGGCAAACCATTCCCTAGTTGAATGTCTGCTTGGTGGATTTGCTGATTTGTTCTGTGCATTTTGAGCATAGGGAAAAGAAAATTGAAGAGAGGGAGCAGAGTACAGTGAGGAGGATGTCTTGGAGCAGCAGGCATCTTCTTCCTTTTTCTAGTGACAAGAATACTTGAGCTTCTTGAAGGTCAGGTGGGCATTGTGGAAGATATCCAGGCTTGAGCTTTGGTACTGGTACATCACTCAAGCTGGTGGCCTATTTGATGAGGGTACCTCATCAATGACAGGCTATGAGATATACTAACAGGGGAACAGAACTAAGGGTTTTGAAATAGTCCAGACTGGAGTCAGTACTTCCACATCAAGGATAGTGCAGTGGAGCCCTTAGAAATAGACAAGTTCTTGTAGATTCCTTCCAAGAACTAAAACATGTATTCTACAAGTTGCTGTTTTTGTTCAGTCGCTGTCGTTCCAACTCTTTGTGACCCCATGGACTACAGTATGGAAACTCTTTGCATCGGATGACCACAATTTTACCATTTGTGGGAAAACTGGGTAGAGTTAAGTAGCAGCTGTGCTCTTTAGGCTGCATATGGCCTTCTAATTCTCCATAATTCCTAGGGGATGCACTTTACCTCATTCAGTTATATTACCTTTCTGGGCTCTGTTGGCATCTAAATTTTTAACCTGGACAGGCACTTTGGGTTTTAATATTAATGTGATTTTATTTCAATCTGAGAAACCCTAGGGGATATTGGGCTTGCATAAAAATCACTTATAGGTATGATAACCAAATTCAAATTATGGAACACTAGAACAGTGAAAAATATGGCTTAATGAATTCTATATTAAATATCACCATGGTTTGGTTAGTTGCTCAGTCGTGTCTGGCTCTTGCAACCCCATGAACTCTAACCTGCCAGGCGCCTTTGACCATGGGATTTTCCAGGCAAGAATACTAGAGTGGGTTGCCATTTCCTTCTCCAAAATATCACCATGGTCAGTGCTTTATCTGGTTTAAATATTAAGTCACTGTTGATATTTGTAATCTGAGAAGATAAGAGCTGAAATAATAGGAATTCCTATAGTTATGTATCGAAAAGGTCATTTTGCATTCCTAATCTTAAGGCCTTTGGGTAATATGGAAGCAACTGAATATGAGAAACATGAGTCTCAACCTTTTGGCTAGTTAAAATAGAAACATCTAAGCTGAGAAAAAGTCTCACATTAGACAGATTGATAAGTAAAAAACTTACTTGAGGTTCTCTGTGAAATCACTAAAAAATAAACAAAAAGAAATCCATGTAATTTTTCTTAAATACAAAAACATAATATTATCTAATATATTCTGTCTGTGTCTGTGAGGGGAGGACTTGGGTGGGAATAAGAAGAAAGCATTGCCAATGGCCTTAGAAAGCAGTTGCAATGCAAACTTAGATATGAGATTAAGCAGTGATGATTTAATGATGAAGTCAAGGCAGGGTTTTACCAAAAGTCTTCTTCATATACTGGATCTGAACAACTTTGGGTATAGTGTCAGGCAAACATAACTGGATATTTCTGTTTTGGATAGCAATGTATTCTTTGAGGGAACACTCAAAAGTCTGTCTCCATTTAAACATCATTTTGGACTTCCTTCTCTCTCAAAAAAATCTGCCTACCTCTGTTATTTCATAATATTCAGTTTTTTTTTGTTGTTGTTGACAAATGCTACCTTACTCCTTCTTTTTGTTCTGGCTGCACACGTGGCATGCAGGATAGTTCCCTGACCAGGAATTGAAATTCTGCTCCCTGCACTGGGAGCACAGAGTCTTAACCACTAGATTGCCAGGGAAGTCCCTAATCAGTATTTTCTTAAATTATGTATAATACAGGGGAAAGTGTTAGTCACTCAGTTGGTCATGTCTGACTCTTTGTAACCCCATGGACAGTAGCCCACCAGGCTCCTCTCTCCATGTTATTCTCCAGGCTAGAATACTGGAGTGGGTTGCCATTTCCTTCTCCACGGGATCTTCCTGACCCAGGGATCAGGTTTCTCACATTGAAGGCAGACTCTTTACTGACTGAGCCACCAGGGAAGCCCTTAATAGTAATGCCCATAAAATAATGTAGGGGAAGCTGACTAATAAGCAAATAAGAGAGCAATGAGAAAATCAAATCACTATAACAGAAAAAAGTCCCTCAGACTTTGAAGACCAAACAGAACCAAAGTAGAAAAAGAGATGTTACACTTACTTATGGGTGCCAGGGGCAGACCTAAAAAACAAGTTAGATATCAGTGGATATTTGCTTGAAAAAAACAACTTTCTTTTTAAGGAATTATATTTGAGTAGGGGAGAAGCTTATTTGTCCCATAGCTCTTTGTTTAAATTGTGGTTCTATGACTATGTATTCTTGGGCCAGATTGCGGCCTCAGTTTCTTAGTCTTTACAGAGAGGTCAGTGGAGTTACTCTAAGAATTAAATAGTGTAAAGTATTAATAATTAAAGCACTTATATAGTTCTGATCACATAGGAGATGCAAGGTAAATACATGTTTGCAATTAAGTAAATATAAGTTGACTTCTCAGAGAAAGAAGTTGGATGAGCAGAAGGCAGAGGGAATTGAGAGCTATGAGTCTCAGGTTTCTACACAGAGTTAGAAATGAGGAGGACAGGGTCTGGTCCCTAGGCCTTGTAGAGAACAAGGAAATAGTGGAAAAACGGATGAAACTTACCCCTGAGCATTGAAGGTGGACAAGCTGAAAAACAAAAATATCATCACAACTCTTTTCTCTCCCACTGTATTTCTGTATGCTTTTTTAAAGAGAGTTCCTTCTTGATAGGTCATTATAATAGTAGGAAAAAATGTTACCTTTGGTCTTTATTTGCTTTTAACATAAGTCAGCAGGATTTGGACTTTTCTAAAAATCATTTATAACAATGGAATTTTGACCATGAGAGGGTAAGCGGTTAGTTAAAGCAGCATGTACCCTATGCCCAGAAATTCCAGCATAACTGGGGAAAGGAGAAATAGGACTCCTCAGTGGAAGAAACATCGAGTGACTTACTGAGGGCTTGTGGAGCTGGTCCATCTAGAAAATACAACCGAGAAAATTTTTATCGTTCCCCCTACTTTTTCCCAATTCAATATGTTTTTCATTTTGTGAAGTCCCTTGTCGCATATCATTTTTAACTGCTGGGAAGCTTTCCTCTCTGCTCTTTATTTTTTACATGAATCAGTGGAGTTTTTTTTCCCCCCACAGAGTTATTAAAAAGCTGATAGACTTATTGAAAATATGAATGTGAGACATGAAGGAAACAGCTACTTCTAATCTTTGAAATGCCATATGGTCAGGGAAGTTTCCTCAAGTATCTTGGAATTCAAATTTGGAAAAAAGACTTAAGTAGGGCAGGAGGTCCAAATGAAAACTGTCTTAGAAACTTTCTTATCCCCTCCTTTCTCTCTCGTCATGTTTTCATTGTCTGTAGGTAGTCTTTTGTTGGTCTTTATAACTAAGCAAAACTTTTTTCTCCCCTCTTCATTTTTACGTAAATTAGTAGTGTCAGACCTTTCCTGGTCAAAATAACCCAGAGGCATTTTGATAGCCAGGTTGCAAGAGAACAAGATGTACCTCAAGCCCTTTGTATTTCAGTATGGCCAGGTAAAGACTTTTGGACCCCATTAAAAATCAGTTAAACTCTGGGGCAAACAATCAAACAGACTTACTGACTGCATGAGGAGTTGGTCCCGCTGAAAACAAGCAGAGAGATTTTTTTATTACTCATTTCTTGTCTACTCTTCTGTTCATTTTTTTCTGTCAGAGACAGAAAAAGTTTTTCTGATCAGACATTTGAACTTTCCAGAAAAATTATAATCAGTTGATGGAATACTGGTTAATGGAGAAGCAAAAGGGAAAATAAAATAGGAGTTTCAAATTCCTATACCAGAACTCAAGTTCCAATAGACATTTCTGGACCTTGATAAGTGCACAGCAGAAAAATAAACAATTTACTAATTGCTGATATAAATGACCTAGCAGGAAAATAGAAATATTATCTGTATCTTTTTCTCTCACTCATTTTTCTCTTCTGCATGGAAAGTCTAACAATCTTTAGAACCATGGATAAATTTTTTTTCTGTTCTTTATTTTTATATGACTCAGTGAACATTCTGGAAACTTGTTAATAACTTAGTGGAATTCTGAATAATGGAAAAATAAAAGGTCAAGGAAGTGGGAGCTTTAAGTTATTGCAATCCCAATAAGGATGGATAAATTTTGGTTCAGGTAGATCTGTTAGATACTGCTGGAGACAACTGAGTTCTTTCGGAAAGGGCGATATTCAAACTTACAGGATGATCTTGAAGCTGAAAAGCAAAGAGAGAAATCAATGTGTAAAGGCTGATGAAATAAGAACTAGTTTTCCTCTTACTATTCTGAGAGAGAGTATCAGAAATATCTGTGGAGATAGAATCAAATCCTTGTAGGTGTTGTAGCACACTGTGGTGGGGAATACAATTGCCATCATACCTTGTAGGTTGAATTGTAGGATTCTGCCTTCTGCTTAGTCTGGGAGGCTACGGGAAAGGGAGATGACTTATCTCTTCCCTTTTTGCAGTGGCTGGTCAACTACTTAAAATCTTACAGTGGTGTCGGTAATTTAAACTGTATTGCCTTTATTATTTTTCTCCCTTTTTCTGCAGCCTTCTCAAGGTCTCCTTCACTTATGTAAATATACTCCCTCTCTTACTGACAAGTCACAGTAAACTTCAGATAGTTTCCTCTATTTTAAAATATAATATTATATATATATACACCTTATATATGTATATATTTGTATATAATGTATGTGTGTATGTATGTGTGTATGTGTTAGAAATGCAAAAAAGCAAAATGGCTGTCTGAGGAGGCCTTACAAATAGCTGTGAAGAGAAGTGAAAAGCAAAGGAGAAAAGGAAAGATATTCCCATTTGAATTCAAAGTTCCAAAGAATAGCAAGGAGAGATAAGAAAGCCTTCCTCAGTGATCAGTGCAAAGAAATAGAGGAAAACAACAGAATGGGAAAGACTAGAGATCTCTTCAAGAAAATTAGAGATACCAAGGGAATATTTCATGCAACAATGGGCTCAATAAAGGACAGAAATGGTATGGACAAAACAGAAGCAGAAGATATTAAGAAGAGGTGGCAAGAATACACAGAAGAACTGTACAAAAAAGATTTTCATGACCCAGGTGATCACGATGGTGTGATCACTCACCTAGAGCCAGACATCCTGGAATGTGAAGTCAAGTGGGCCTTAGAAAGCATCACTATGAAGAAAGCTAGTGGAGGTGATGGAATTCCAGTTGAGCTATTTCAAATCCTAAATGATGATGCTGTGAAAGTGCTGCACTCAGTATGCCAACAAATTTGGAAAACTCAGCAGTGGCCATAGGACTGGAAAAGGTCAGTTTTCATGTCAATCTGAAAGAAAGGCAATGCCAAAGAATGCTCAAACTACCGCACAATTGCACTCATCTCACATGCTATTAAATAATGCTCAAAATTCTCCAAGCCCCAGGCTTCAGCAATACGTGAACCGTGAACTTCCAGATGTTCAAGCTGGTTTTAGAAAAGACAGAGGAACCAGAGATCAAATTGCCAACATCTGCTGGATCATCGAAAAAGCAAGAGAGTTCCAGAAAAACATCTATTTCTGCTTTATTGACTATGCCAAAGCTTTTGACTGTGTGGATCACAATAAACTGTGGAAAATTCTTCAAGAGGTGGGAATACCAGACCACCTGACCTTCCTCTTGAGAAACCTATATGCAGGCCAGAAAGCAGCAGTTAGAACTGGACATGGAACAACAGACTGGTTCCAAATAGGAAAAGGAGTATGTCAAGGCTGTATATTGTCACCCTGCTTATTTAACTTATATGCAGAGTACATCATGGGAAACGCTGGGCTGGAAGAAGCACAAACTGGAATCAAGATTCCCGGGAGAAATATCAATAACCTCAGATATGCAGATGACACTACTCTTATGGCAGAAAGTGAAGATGAACTAAAAAGACTCTTGATGAAAGTGAAAGAGGAGAGTGAAAAAGTTGGCTTAAAGCTCAACATTCAGAAAACTAAGATTATGGTATCTGGTCCCATCACTTCATGGCAAATAGATGGGGAAACAGTGTCAGACTTTATTTTTTTGGGCTCCAAAATCAGTGCAGATGGTGACTGCAGCCATGAAATTAAAAGACGCTTACTCCTTGGAAGGAAAGTTATCACCAACCTAGATAGCATATTAAAAAGCAGAGACATTACTTTGCCAACAAAGGTCCATCTAGTCAAGGCTATGGTTTTTCCAGTAGTCATGTATGGATGTGAGAGTTGGACTATAAAGAAAGCTGAGCGCAGAAGAATTGGTGCTTTTGAACTGTGGTGTTGGAGAAGACTCTTGAGAGTCCCTTGGACTGCAAGGAGATCCAACCAGTCCATCCTAAAGGAGATCAGTCCTGGGTGTTCACTGGAGGGACTGATGTTGAAGCTGAAACTCCAATACTTTGGCCACCTCATGCGAAGGGTTGACTCATTGGAAAAGACCCCGATGGTGGGAAGGATTGGAGGCAGGAGGAGAAGGGGATGACAGAGGATGAAATGGTTGAATGGCATCACCGACTCGATGGATGTGAGTGTGGGTAAACTCCAGGAGTTGGTGATGGACAGGGAGGCCTGGCGTGCTGTGATTCATGGGGTTGTGAGGAGCCAGACATGACTGAGTGACTGAACTGAACTGAACTGATGTGTTAGTTGCTCAGTCATGTCTGACTCTTTGTGATCCCATGGACCGTAGCCTGCCAGGTTTCTTTGTCCATGGAATTCTCCAGGTAAGAATACTGGAGTGGGTTATGATCCCCTGATCTAGGGGATCTTCCTTACCCCGGGATTGAACCTGGGTCTTCTGCATTGCAGGTGGATTCTTTACTGTCTGAGCCACCAGAGAAGCCCATAATATATGTTACATATATGTGCATATTATTACATTATACATTTTGGGTTATTAAGTGGGATTATAGTCCCCTCAATTCATTTATTCTTGGGGTGAGGTGCAGCTAGATAGTGGAAAGAGCAAGGGATTGGGAAACGTAAATTTCTATACCCAGACCCAGTAGGAAGATGAAAGCAACTATAAGAACAGGCATGGAACTTACAGGTCATTTCTGAAGTTTCAGCTGGTGGAAAAATGGAAGGAAAAAAAAGGAGAAATTAGTTTGTAGAACCAAGAGAACTCGGTTCTCACATTATGGGCTTAAAAAGAGTAACTGCAGAGAGGTTGCAGAGAGTTCTGAAACCTGCCTGTTAGCTGAGGGTCTGGGCTTAAGCACCCACCCCTGTTCTTTGTATCCTCAGGTCTGTAGCTCCTGCCTGGGGCAGAAAAGTGGCCATCCTTTCCGTCCCCTTTGGGTCTTGTAAATAGAAGAAACACTTCCAGATGTTCATAAACTTAAACTTGTGCTTCTGCACTTCTGTGTACTTTTGCCATTCTTATCTTCACTAGTCTTTTTCCTTCCTAATGTTTTAATTGATTTGAAAAGTCTTCTTCCAAATGCTTCTCTTTCCTAGTCCAATTTGAAGCACTTGTTTTTGTTAATTAAAAAATTAATCAATGTGTTTTGTGCATTCTCCAAATCATGTGTAATCTAGGGGAAAGCTTAGGAAGGAATGAATGTAGCAATATAATTCATTTAAACATTGCTATATATTTAAAAGTGTTTACACATAGGGAGAGGGATTAAGCAGGGAGAAAAAGAAGGGAAAGGGAATTGATGTACCTATATAGATTTTCTGGCACACGTGACCATTAGGGGATTTGGACCAATGGAGCCCTTCCTTTAGCCACAGTGGGATCCTCTGAGGTGAACTGATTTAGGATTTTTCCCCCTTATAAGAATTATGAGAACTTTCAAGACTGTAAGTCTTGGTGATAATAAAAAGTACTGAGAAAGGCAGCCTTGATTTAGGGGAACAGTCAGTAAATGATGGCTGGTATTCATCCACAACAAGAAGCATTTAGGGCAGGTAACATCCATTTCAGCAGTCATAGTATGATTGTGTGGGAGATTGACTGTAGTCACCACATTTTGAGTTCCTTTTTCCAAGACATCCTGGAGGACTGTAAACTCCACAGCACCAGAGGTCAACCACATCTTTCTCTCTCTTATTCATGACTTTATCCCCAGGGTGCATCAGTTTCTGATACGTGGTAGAAGCTCAGCTAGTTGAAGTAATGTCTGAGTACACCCAACTTGCTTTCTGATAATTTTTTCCTATTTGGCTTAAACTATGGGATGCTATCACTTAATTTCCATACTAAAATTTTTCTATCACATGGGATTGGTTTTGACACTCCAGATTTTGACACCAGCTTTGCTCTTTCTAGCTGCAGTACAAACTTAACCTTCCACTTTCTTCTACTTGTGGTTTGTAGGTACCTGATGAATCTGTCAGTTCCTGTAATTGCAGCCCAACTACTGTCATATCCTGTTCCCTGAGCTCGTATGTGTGTGTGTGTGTGTGTGTGTGTGTGTGTGTTGAGGGTTGTTTGGGTGATTGGGCAGGATGGGACTTGAGAAAGAACAAGGTCTTGGAGGAAATGATGAGGGATCCCAGGGTAGACTAGATCCTGAGCAATATTCCTGGAAACTAGAAGGAACCTGGTAAGACCTCTATCTGTTTACATTTGATTGTCTTTTCCCTCTTTTACATTTATTTTCAAATATTGCCTGCCTTTTCTCATTGTCTTTACATTGTCTCTACATTGTCTCCATTATCTTTGAGTAGGCCCTTATAAACTACAAAGCACTTCAGAACTGGAAAGTCATCCTTATTCTTCTTCTTCTGTCACATTATAAAATTTTATATTGTTTTAGAAGCCATTACTGATCATTATTGAGGGAATTTTCTTATTCCTTTTCTATAAAAAATAGCCCTGGAAAATTCTAGGCAGGTAGAAACTGGGAAGCATGAAAACATGTCTAAAACCACTATCTTTCTGGCAATAGATACATTTAAGAAAGGAAACAGGCCCTTTACACATTGTAGAACACCAGAGGAAAGAAATAGGTAAGGGACTTACCAGTGGGTCCAGTATATTGTACTAAAAACAGAAACAAACATGAATTATTGTACTTGTTAAACATGAAAAACACATGTGTACCATTGATGTTTTCCAAAGGAGAGCAATGAAAATGGTTTCCCTGGAATAACTAAATCCCAATTTTTAAGATTAAATATTTTTTACTGCACTGCTCCTGGACTATAGCCTTTCCATAAGAATTGCATCTTCAAAAAAAAAAAAAAAAAAGAATCGCATCTTCCTCTAGGAGATTTGTAACCCTGTTTTAGTTGGCAAGATAACCACTTCACTGTTGCCTTTCCAAGTGTTTAAGGTAAAATCTTAATTATATTCTCTTCTCTCCATTTGCCTCATTTTTTTTCTTCACATCATTTTTTATCCCTCTCTGAGCCAGCTTTCTATTGTCTTCTTCATCATTTCTTACATCATCCTTGCCCAGATTCTCTCTGTTGCATCTTTTCTTTGGAATTGTCTTCTAATAATTATTGACAAACCACTATTATCACTATTATAATTATCACTGTTATTAATTTGAGTAATATGTAAGAGTGGAACATATGTACCTTATTAATGTACATATGCATCTTATTAATACATATATATATACACATACATATGGGCAACTTACCAATAGGTCCTGGAGTTTGCACTAAAAAGAAATCCAAATTGACAAATGAGTATGGGTGTTCGGATGAAGAATACATCTTTTAATGAATTTTATTTAGGGATGAGACTTGGAGAGGTAGAGTATGGGAGAGGAAGTTGTATCAGTAATGAGAACATCCAGGAGTTTGGTTAACTATAGAACAAAAGGGATATTCAAATATACTGCAATATTTCAGCCTGAGGTAAGGGCTTCCTAGGATTCTTGTCAACCAAGGAGACAGTAAAGTAATGTGAAAGTTTATACTTTTCTTTCCTATCAGTAACAGAAGATATTGCTTTTTCAAGGGACCACCCTGTACTAAAGTATTTCTGACTAGCTAATATGTTCTAGGAGTAGGTATTAGGGTAGGGAGAGAAAAATCTTGTCTTCTCACAGCTTCCCACTTACTGGGAACTGATAAAGGGTCAAAGACTGCCTTGATTCGTTTTAGTGTCTGTGGACAAAGAGTCAACAAAGTCTTCAGTTGATTTTCTAGCTCTGATCCTTTGGTGACCTGATAAAGATTGTAAATCTGCCATGTTACTTGGCAACATTAGTTTTACACAAGGATGAGCCTTGAACAGTGAACTACATCTGAACTGGGAGAACTATAAATACCTATTAGAAAGCCATGGCTTTGGGCTTCCTTGAGTGTAGTGCCCATGTGTTTAGGTATTTTCTTATGGGATCTCTTTAGACATCTGCACAGACCATTGTCAAGATTACTCTAGCAGAAGAGGAATGGGTATAATATCTGCCTTACCCACCACCGTTGAATCTAACAACATAATGGATTTGAGATTTAGAAAAGTCATAAAGCATTATAAGAATCATTCAAAGAATGTGACTAGATACAAATACAAGAGTCATATTCATTTTGTTAAATGAGCCTAGAGGAACCTAAAATCATATTTCTTTAATTTTATAATTTAAAAATATTTTCGGCTTTTCCTAGGAATACTATAATCCAGTGTGTGAAGCTATGACTGTTTGCTCTTGTTTATAAGCATATAATTATGGATAATTGTATCTTGAAGCCTAACCATTACTTATAATGTTTCTATGGAAAAATGCAACAGGGCAAGTTGCTAAAAGTTGGTGAAATAGAACCTACCTATCCTGGAGAGAACTTTTCAGAGTAGTTAGAAATGAAAAGAATCTGAAATTTTCTTTCTTTTTTTTTTTTAAACAAAATGAAGATTATATAATGAAAGATTACATGCACAGAAAGCAAGAAGTTTAGAAGCTATGTTCTAAATTTTTATTACATATTGGTTTTAAAGAGCTAGATTATGTACTAAAGTGGGAACAGCTCACAGAAGACCATTCTTAGGGAACTTTTTTTTTTTAAACTTGTTTTTCAGCTTCATAGTTAATATCTTTTATTGCAGAACCTGGTTGAATCCAGCCTTTAGGAATTCCGGGTGGGATAGTGAGGCAGTGGAAACACTTGGTCCTGGAGACTGTGGGCATGAATCATTGAAATAAAAATAGACTGATGCTTTAAGCATTATAAAGGATTAAACTGTGTTATAATTTGAGACTTAGGTGACTTACCAATGGTCTTTTGAGAGAGCTCTATAAAAGAATAAAAAAGAAGAAAAGAAGTTAAAAAACTGAGGAAGTGCTTTCAGGTTCTGGTTTGTGTCCCCTAGTAAGACTCTGTACAACCAAACTTGGGGAAAGCTGCAATTGGGTAGTGGGGCTGTTGCCTTTCTTGCTGGAATGGTGAGAAAATCTATTACATATAAAAGCTCCTCATCTAATGGATCCACTGAGAGGGTAAGTAGTAAAGAGAGATTACGCTGGTGGTCCATTAAAATCTCTGTAGAGGACTGGAAAAATTTTTCTCCATTTAAACTTGGTTATCTTTCTCCCTTGTTTCATTTCACATCATCTCATTCTGGTCTTAAAAGTCCTTTGTATGATGTTGACAAGTCTTTGGAAACCTTCTACAAGTGTTTGTCTTTTACTTTATAGCTTGTATTTAGCAGTGGAATGTACATTCACAGAATCATTAATGACTTGCAGAAATGCTTGGTAGAAGAAAATTGAAAGGTCAAGAAAATGCGGACCCCCCAAACCCCTGAAGTCCTAACGTGGAATCCAAGGGAGGATCCTTAATATACTGAAGGCAATTAAAATGCTCTACAGTGAAGAATTAGACGGCAAACTTACTGATAGGTCCTGTAGCTCCCGCTGAGAAACAGAGAGAGAGAGAGAGAGAGAGGGAGAGAGAGAGAGAGAGAGAGAGAGAGAGAGAGAGAGAGAAATCAGTATGTTGTACAACTGTGAAAGAGATACCCATTTTCCAACACTTACTCTAGAGGGAGTGTCATAATGAAAACCCCAGGGAGATCAAAGGTTGTGTGTATGGCAGTCCTTGGATAGGCTTCCTGTTGCACAGCCTAGGAGACCTACAGGAATGGAGCCCTTCTCTTTTCAGTGATGATCGAAACTCTTTTGAGGATTTGGAAAGACTCATTCCTGCTAATTTGTAGTGCCTCTTTTTTTCTTAGAATTTTTTCTTTTTCTCCTCATTCCTTTAGGGACTTACTGTTATTTCAAAAGTGAACCTTCCCTTGCTGACAGCATTAGGACTGCTTCTAAGAGGGTCTTTTTCTTTTCTACTTTCTTACATTAGCCCATAGAAGCTCTACTTCATTCAGAGCTTTTTAGGAAACTGTGATAGGAATACTAGGGGAGTCAAGAAGCATGGTATCAAGAAAAAGGGCAGATCAGTTCTAAAGACCTGTAGGTCAGACGTCAAAGGAACCAGAGTAGATAAACAAGTTCAGTACTTACGAATAGGTGCTGTGAATTGCACTGAAATACAAAAAGGAAGGAAATTGTGTGGTTTGATATTAACTGAATTCTCATGCCACTAATATTATTTTTAAGAACCTAGGAAGACCCATAATCCACCCACTGGATCAAATCGTTCAGCATTCATCTTAAGTGAAGAACGTATAGAACCTAGTCTGAAGGTCGTTCTCTTCTCCTTCACCCTCGTCCCTCTCCCTCTTCTGTTTTTCTCTCTACCTTTCAGCTGTCTCAAAGGATTCTAACTATTTAGGAATAGGTAGATGGCAGTTCCTTTATCTTTTTTTCAATCACCATCTCTTCCTTTGTCTTCACCATGCTTATTCTTTTGCCTTCTCCTAGAACTACCTGTTTTTCTTGTAGTTCTTCCTTCAATTTAGGAAAAGCCCATAAGTAACAGTTTTGATTATTTTTTATCATAACTCAGAGAATTTTTTTCTGGTCATTATTTTAAATATAAATTATTTGGCTTTCCCTTGTCTTAAAGTCAGTTACAATTCAGGGTATCTATTTCTGTTAGCTTAGGCATCAGGAGATTCAAATGCAATCAAGAAGCATGACTGGGAAAGCCTAGAGATGTAGAAATGGAAACAGGGTGAAGAGAGGGTCCCTTATCCCACAGAAGACCAAAGAGTGTCAGAATTAGGAAACAGAAAAGGCACTCACTTATTGGGCCAATAGTTCCAGCTAAAATATGAGAAAAACAAGATAGAACTAATTAGAATGGTTCTTTGGTGTAGGAAAATGCAATTTTCATTGAAATTATTTCTGGGAAAACATCAGAAGTATAGATACCAGGACTAAAATTTCCACTTCACTGGAGAAGTAAATGAAGTTTATTCTTCATTCTCCATCTTGGAGGATCCGGGGACTACTGGCTCTGGCAGCTGGAGCTGCAAGGGTGCAGTGGTCAGTGTTCCTTCCACAGTGGGTGCCTTATTTGTAGCTCTGTAGATTACAGGCCATTGTCCTTACTCCAGCTGGGTTAATTTGAACTTGTCTAGCTAGAAAATATAGCCTCATCTTCTGAAGGCGGAAGTGGAAATTTCTGTCTCTTTTAAGTGACCTCGGCTCCCTTATTCAACAGATTAACTTCATCTTCAATATCTTAGTGTCTAAGAGGGAATAGAGATTTCTAGATAGACCCAAGACATTCATAGGTATAGTTGGGGCTAAAGAGATTGAGGCATGAGATACCCATGCTTAGCAATAACAGCCTTCTCTTTCTTTACACACATACACACGTACCCCTCTATACCTCCTAGGTGCACTTCTGTGGCACCTCTCCAGTATTTATGCTTGAAGTTTGAATTTTGATTATCTTAATCATGTTTCATGTGCATAAACACTCCAGGAGGAGTAGACACAGGATGTGATTTGCCATGAGCCCTAACTCCTCAAATTGTTCTTCTTCCTCCTCCCTTCAGGGTTGCCACTGCCCAAGTGCTCAAGTTCTGAACATCTTCAGGAATGATGGATAGAGATGTGTTAGGAAATTAATCAAACCTCTCTGAGTTTCATCTTTCTTATTATTGGCTTTAAGGCTACTCTTTGTGTGGAGAATCTTTAGAGATAGAGGAACTAGTTAAAGTTAGGTCAAGTACACTCAACTTTTTATTTCCTTTCCAAATGCAAAAGGATTAAAACTTTGTAAAGCAATAGTTCTAAACTTTACTGTGCACACAAATCACTTGGGGATCTTGTTAAAAAGCAGATTCTGATTTAATAGTTCTGAGAATGGGTGTTATGCTGAGACTCTGCATTTCTCATAAACTCCAAGGTGATGCCAACACAGGTCCTTGGACTCACTTTATACATCAAGGCCGTAAAGGACTGGTAAAATTTCAGAGCATTTGTACATTGTTTTCTCCTTTTACCTTTTACTGTTTTTTTTTTTTTTTTCATTTCTAAATCAACTGCCTCTCACTCATCTCTCACTGTTTATTCTCTGCTAGTGCTTCTACAAGAAATGTTTGGCTGTATCATTTAAAATGCTATCTGGACACTTCTTCCAGATTTACTCTTTGGTAATAGCAGGGCATATAAATTCCACATAACTGTCAACAATATTCTGGGTATCCTAGGTCAGCCAGCTGGAACTCACTATCTTCATCCTCTGAGTGTTACTGGGATTTCTAGAAAGGAAACTTCCTACTTTTCTAACACTTCCCTCTGCCACCAAATCTCAGAATTTTTATATAATTAAAACTGACAGTACTTCCTCATGGAGGAACCTAGCTTGTTAAGATAATATTAGAGAATAAAGAGAAAATAATTAACAAGTTGTGCAGGAGGGGTTAAAAACATCCAGGGACAGGAGTGTCTTACATATTCTAACAGTAAAGAAATGCAAAACACAGGAGGATTAAAATACAGAAAAATAACTTACTTATGGGTCCTACAGTGCCAGCTAAAATGTAAACATAAATAAGTTTGACTGAAGAATGTACATTTCATGGAGCTTCAGAATAAGCATTTACTACATATCAGATTTACATGGAGGGCAGTGAGAAGGTGAATCTGCATTTCCCCCCAACCCTTTTCCTTAGGAATCCAATAAGATCATATTCTCTCCAATAATTTTTTGTATTCTCAATTTTTGTAGTTGTCTTGCTATCAGATCCTTCTGAAAGTTTGTTTTTGCCAAATAACCCCATTGAACTGGGGATTTTATTTTACTTTTTGGTTAATTACTTTATTTTTTATTAGCGGAATTTCCACTTTGCAAAATAAGAAAATCATTAGTTACTTAGGGGGATCCTGAAATCAACATCAAGTTCCTCATACCAGTAAAGGAGAGCAATAAAATAATGAGTAATTGTTCTCTTTCTTCCATCTTTATGTGCCTCCTCAACTCCCTCCCCCGCAGCCCCCTAATAGTAGGCACTCCCCCCTCGCCCCAGCCCAGTCCCACAGTAGTAGGCACTTTGTAAAAATGGAAACAACTGAGTTGAGGGGAAACTTACATAAAGGTTCTGGAGTTGCTTTTAAGTCATTTGTATCACCTATGATGAAAATTGACAAGAACTTTGAGAAATAAATGCTGTTTGACCAAAAGAGAAAGAAAATTGACAAATATAATCCCACTTAGATTTAGACTTTCAGAGGGCATGAGGTACAAATACCCTTGGGGTTAAAGATCCAATGTTAGAGAGTCCTGCCTTTGCTACTTTCTAGCTCTTTGACTGGGTAAGTCACTAAACCTTTGAAACATAAATTTTCTAATCTTTAAAATGGAAATCATATCTCCTGTCTTACATTGCAATGTTGCAGTGAAAAAGCAAGCGTAATAATGGATAGGAAAGCTGAAAAGTTCTAATAGAAATGTTATGGAAAGAAATATTCAGTGACTATAAGGAATGAAATTCTTCTGCAAAATAGTAAGTTTTCACTGAATTTAAGGTATTCTGCTTTATTTTACTTTTCTTTTACTTTCTTGCTTCTCTCTTTTATTTCTTACTGTCATTTAGAAAGTTCTGAATGTTGGTGACAGGACATAATTATGAGCATTTCAGTGTGTTTTTCTGATTTATTAATCTGTGTGATTTTACTCTTAAAAAACTATCCTTTTGCTTTCCTTAGTTACCTTGCAGTCTCTTAACTATTGTTTCTGGCTTGAAAAACCCATCTTATTTTCAGATGCCAAAAGTCTCTTTACTGAACCCAGTTTTTTTTAATGAAATGAGTTAATTTTCTCATGGAATTCCCAAGGTTTTGCATATATATAAAATTATGACTTGGACTTAGAACCTACTTTGGTCTTTAACTTTCCTGTTTTAGAGATTTTCACTGATATTCTTGCTCCCTATTACTTTCCTCACCTTGTCCTTTTTTTTTTAAACCTATTCAGCTCTTTGTTTTTTATTTATTTTTATTTCTCTTTGTTTATCACTGTTTGAGTGCTGAAGTCTTATTTAAACAATTATATTTAGTAGGAAATATTGTGAGTTGAAAGTTTACAATTTCTTTTTCTTTTTTTATTGAAGTATAAAGTGAAGTTGCTCAGTCATGTACGACTCTTTGTGATCCCATTGACTGTATCATGCCAGGCTCCTCTGTCTGTGGAATTTTCCAGGCAAGAGTACTGGAGTGGATTGTCATTTCCTTCTCCAGGGGATCTTCCTGACCCAGGGATTGAACCCAGGTCTCCCACATTGCAGGTAGATGCTTTACCCTTTGAGCCACCAAGGAAGCCCAACTATACTTATTGAAGTACAGTTAATTTAAAATACATTAGTTTTAGGTGTATGGCATAGTGACTCAGTGTTTTACATATTATGCTCCATTAAAAGTTATTACAAGATAATGGCTATAATCCTCAGTGCTATATAGTAAATCTTTGTTTTCATTTGCATATTTATGACTCTGTTTTTGTTTGTTTTTTATGTTAGGTGGGAAATAATAGCTTTTTCCATAAACGATGAGATCTACTTCAGCATTTGGAAAGAGATGTCAGTTTTCTAAATGGTATAAATTGAAGTAACATGTCATGCCCACTACCAAATAAAGGTAGTTTAAAAATACATATATTGTTAACAATGACAAACACATTTGAGTTGTTTGCTAATTATAAGTAGCAACTCCCTGGAGATTAGCAGAATTTTTAGGTTGCATATGGGCTGAGCAGGAATGAGCAGGAAAGAGAACTATGACACATTATTGAAGTCTGCCACTGGCAAAAGTGTGAACAGTGGTGGCATGCATATCATATATTTTCTATTCTTGACCTAAAGTACTGTAGAATAATGAGGACAGGAAAATTTTAAACTGAGAGTTTTGTGGCCTTGTCTAGGTGAAGATAATAAGTAGGACAGTGAAAGATAACCACTTACTGACTTTCAGAGTGGAGAAGTAGCTAGAAAATGATGACATGAGTATCTTGCCTAAGTACTACTATGTGCTTTTTTTAAATTAAGATTGCGGTTTGAGAATAGTTACTCTTCTTAATGAAAATGTCAGGACTAGTTCTCTTAGAAAGTGCTAAATTTTCCATACTGGACAGAAATCACAATACTGGTTATCTTTGTGGGTATCACAAACTTAGTTGCTATTAGGAGCCAGCAGTTCTCATGAAATTATGAATGTTAGTTATGGGGCTAGTGGGGATTTTGGCCATTTGAAAAATGCACACCCTATTTAAAAACACAAAATACAAAACTTAAAATAATGCTATGCTGTTCAAACAAAATACATCTACAGGTGGCATTTTATATGACATAGGTAAGATAATTAATGAAAGAGAAGGTGGAGAATTGTGAGCCTCAATCCTGGTCACTGTGACAAAGCAGGAAACAGGTAAGACAGGGAGATTAGCTCTGCCTAGTATAGGAGCCCTATAAACCAGATTAATTACTGTGCTGCATGGCATGCAAGATCTTAATTCCCTGACCAGGGATCGAACCTGTGTCCCCTGCAGTGAAAGTGCAGAGTCTTAACCACTGGATCACCAGGGAAGTCTCCAGAACAACATTTTAAAATCACAGATTCACTAAATTTTCTAGGCTGCAATTCAGTTCACATGATTTTATCTCGTCTCATTTTATGTAGAGCTCTTACAAATCAGATTTTGAAAGAAAAAGAAAACTTACAGATTCTTGAGGTAAAACTAAAGAACAATAGAAAATATTCAAATCAGTCTTGAGTTAATTATTTAAATAATCCACCTATTTCCCAAGTCTTTCCAGAAACTGTACATTAGACCCTCTATTCTCCAGTAGGTACAAGTTACCACATCTCTCAAATCTTTAAGTTTTGAATCTTCTTTCCTCTTGGACACTATCCAGGAGTAGAAATTTTTGGGAGAGAATTCAAACTTACTATATTCCCAATATAATGATTCTATTCAGCACCTTTTATTTCCCCTATTTTCCATTCCTTACCCTTTTTCTCTTTTCAGTTTGGAGAGTATCCTCTCCAAAATGTGATAGCTTCAAGAACCAAAGAAAGGCCATGTTACTTTTATAAAAAAGAAAACCAAGACTGAGAGAGGCAAAGGTCCGTGCCTGAATATCTGAAAAATTATAGGCAGTTTTAGCCTCCAGTGTCTCTGACTCTAAGTTAGTGCACTTTCCTCTGTACCCCACTCAATTTTCTCCTGTTTCTATTCTTCCTGGAATATTCTTTTAAAAAGTAATTTCTTTCCTACTTGTAAACTCATTTTTTTTCTATTCTCTTCCATTGGTCTTTGGAGTATTCTTATAAAATAAATTATAGAGAAAGTTTGTGATAATTATTAATGATAATAATTATGACAGTAATAGTAACATACAAACTTTGGTAGAATGAATCCCCACTATATTCAGTGCAGAAAAGATGGGCATTTGTCTTACTTGCCTTGTTAAATTTTAAACTGCTATATGAAATTTGATAATTTTCATTATCTTTCAAGACCTTATTTAGTGAATCTCTAAAATAATAGGGTTTAGCAACACTTTTTGGCTCAACTTTTAATGATTTACTTAGTCTGAATTCACAGGCTGAAGTCCTATATTCCCGGGCCTTTCATCATTAACTGATAAAATCTATGATAATGGAGAAGCAAAAGGGGTGACATTCTTCATGGTGGAGAAACAACTGGGAACATGCTCAATCCCTTATCTCTGTTAAACGGACACACAGATAAATCCTTGAGGCCAAATCCTTTAAAATATCAGAGTTAATTCCCTTTTGAAGAGAAGCATGAGAAAAAGACTCTCACCCTCCCCTCCTGAGGGAGCACCCAATCCCCTGTTCCACCTGTGGTGAGATTTGGCCACAGATTTTTAAAGGTCCTGTGCTTTGGTGCTGTGACTGAAGCCCAGAGAAATATTTAAGACAAGTGATGAGCATGGAGGCCATTTACTCTTTCTTCTCAGCCTTTGTAAAGGTTGAAACTCTTCAGGGAGCTTGGAAGACCTTAGTCTTAGCTAAGCTTTCTTTAGTTGCCCTATGTTCTCCTTTGTTTTTACTCAGTTGCTCTCATTTCTCTTTCCTGAATTGAGAAATAGAAAGAAGACTTAAATAAGATTCCTGGAATTACACTGAGGAATAATAAAAACCTACAAAAGTCTGAATTAATTGATTTAAAAAGCACATAATTCTCATGAAACTCTCTAAAATGGAACCCTAATTAGTTCTCTTTAGGTACTGTGGGGGATCAGGTGCTAGAATGCTTGAATTTACATCCTCATTCTTTTACTTGCTAGCTGTGTGACCCTGCACACACTGCTTAACTCTTTTTTTGCACCTAAATTTGTTCATTTAAAATAGAGCATTTGTAATAATGTCTACTTCATAGGGTTGTTAAGAAGATGTAAAGTACCTGGTAAATGTAAATGGTAGATGTAAAGAAGATGTAAACTGCTTATTTAACTTAAATGCAGAGTACATCATGCGAAATGCCAGGCTGGATGAAGCACAAGCTGGAATCAAGATTTCCGGGAGAAAGATCAATAACCTCAGATATGCAGATGACACCACCCTTATGGCAGAAAGCGAAGAAGGACTAAAGAGCCTCTTGATGCAAGTGAAAGAGGAGAGTGAAAAAGTTGACTTAAAACTCAACATTCATAAAACGAAGATCATGGCATCTGGTCCCATCAATTCATGGGAAATAGATGGGGAAACAGTGGAAACAGTGACAGATTTTATTTTTTGGGGGGCTCCAAAATCACTGCAGTTTGTGACTCCAGCCATGAAATTAAAAGACGCTTGGTCCTTGGAAGAAAAGCTATGACCAACCTAGACAACATATTTAAAAGCAAAGACATTACTTTGCCAACAAAGTTTCGTCTAGTCAAAGCTCTGGTTTTTCCAGTAGTCATGTATGGATGTGAGAGTTGGACTATAAAGAAAGTTGAGCACTGAAGAATTGATGCTTTTGAACTGTGGTGTTGGAGAAGACTCCTGAGAGTCCTTTGGACTGCTAGGAGATCCAAACAGTCAATCCTAAAGGAAACCAGTCCTGAATATTCATTAGAAGGGCTGATGCTGAAGGTGAAACTCCAATACTTTGGCCACCTGATGTAAAGAACTTACTCATCGGAAAAGACCCTGATGCTGGGAAAGATTAAAGACGGGAGAAGAAGGGGACAACGGAAGATGAGATGGTTGGATGGCATCACCAACTCAATGGACATGAGTTTGAATAAGCTCCAGGATTTGGTGATGGACAGGGAAGCCTGGCGTACTGCAATCCATGGGGTCGCAAAGAGTCGGACATGACTGAGCAACTAAACTGAAAGGAACTTACCAATATTTGATTGAGACAGTGCTAAAAGAACTTCAGATTTTATTTATTCTATCAGTAATAGTTTAAGATAGGGCAGGATTGCAAGATCTATGCAATCCATCATTTAATTTCTTTTATTAAAAGAATAACACTGTTTCAGGGATTAATAGTTTCTCAGACCGTGGAAATTTTCCTGCCTCCATGTCTTCTTTCATTTCTGATCCTGCTTCTTTTGTCCTTTCCCCTGTTCCTTCTTGTCTCTCCTCTTCTTCCTTTTCCCTCTCCTTAATTTTCTTTGTCTTATTTTCTCCTTTGAAAGATCCTTTGTTGCACCAAATTGTTACTATATAACTGCTTCAACAAAAGGTTTCCATTTCAAAATCATTTGTGTCCTATGGGAATGCTGAATAACAAGAAAAAACAGGATGTACCTGAATGTTAGAAGATAAAATGTCAAGGCTCACTGTCAGGATGGATATTTTACCCTCTTTTCTAACCACTTGGAAAAGTTGGACATAATATTTCTTAAAAATTTAAAATGTAGAGCTGAGTTTGAAAACTAGGAAAAAGATTCTCCTAGAATAATATATCAAGAGGTCATCCATACTTGGGATAGTGAACGGGAAGTTTCATCACTCATGTATCTTAACAGGAGGCTGGAATGTCAACAGCTGATCAGAAACAAAAATGAAGGCCATATGTCTTATGCATTATAAGAGCCTGGGACTAGTCTTCTTGTATATCTAAGACTCACAAAAGCTCAATCTGTGGAAAGGGCACCATTAATTCTCACCTGTTGGTTAGGTGGTGTATGCCAGGAAGTGACCTGTTTGCACCAGGCCATGGCTGGAAATGGAGTCATCAGCAATGGTAGAACCTTACTGTAAGCTGAGTTCAGGTATAGAGCCCACATTTGAATCCCTCATGTAGGGAAGAAACTATGCATGTAGAAACTGGTATAAAAACTGGCTATAAAGTCTGTGCAGTGGTAGGGTTATTATACAACAAAGATTTATGAGAAACTCAAACAGATGATAACCAGGGAGCTCACAGGCATAGGTCAGACTACATCTGAGGAAACCTACTGTTATGATAGACAGTAGCCACAACAGATGGGACAACACATGAAGGAAGAGCTATTCAAAAGAGATTTTCAAATAGTGAAGTGAAGTGAATTGGAAATCACTCAGTCATGTCCAGCTCTTTGTGACCCCATGGACTGTGTCCATGGAATTCTCCAGGCCAGAATACTGGGGTAGGTAGCCTTTCCCTTCTTCAGTGGACCTTCCCAACCCAGGGACTGAATCTAGGTCTCCCACATTGCAGGTGGATTCTTTACCAGCTGAGCCACAAGGGAAGTTAATAAAGGATAGAATCCATACAGCAAGAATAACGTTAATTCAGAAGAAGCTATATTTGATAAAGCATAAAATGGAATGAGCAAATGTAGCAAATGTAGTCATTAAATTATAAAAATCATTAGGTGGGTAAACAAAGAGAAGAGACTCAGAGAAAGAATTGGGCTTCCTCAGTGGCTCAGTGGTAAAGAATCTGCCTGCAATGCAGGAGATGTAGGTTCAGTCCCTGGGTTAGGAGGATCCCCTGGAGAAGGAAATGGCAACCCACTTCAACATTCTTGCCTGGGAAATCTCCATGAATAGAGGAGCCTGGCGGGTTACAGTCCATGTGTAGCAAAATAGCAGACACAACTTGGTGACTAAACAACAACAACAACAAAGAAAAAATTAGTGAATGATATAATCTGAGGAAAACATCCAGGGTCAAGCATTGAGAAATAAGGAAATGATATAGAACTCCTCCACTCCCCTGTCCTCCATGGTCACATCCTAATCCCCAGAATCTGTGAATATGTTAGATTACATGGAGAAAGGGAATCAGGGTTGCAAATGGAGTTAATGTTGCTAATCAGTTTATCTTAAAAAAGGGAGATTATTCTGTATGATCTGTGTGGGCCTAGTGTAATATTAAGAAATGTTAAAAGCAGAAGCAGGAAGTTGAAGGGAGTCAAAGAAAGAGATGTAATAATGAACAAAGTTCAGAGTGATATGATGTGAAAGTTTAGCTTTTTTAAATTAGCTTTGAAGGTGGATGAGGGGGACCATAAGCCAAGGAATGTGGGCAGCCTCTAGAGGCTGAAAAAAAAGCAAGGAAACAGATTGACTCCTAGAATTTCCAGAAAGAATAGAGCCATGCTACACCTTGATTTTTAGTCAAGTGAGACATGTCAGATTTCTAATCTATAGAACTATAAAAAAATAGATTTGTGTTGTTTTAAGCCATTAAGTTTGTGGCAATTTGTTATAGTAGCAATAGAAAATTAATACAACATGGTTAGACTATTGCCCCCATATTCCCTTGCCATTAGGTGTAGCCATATGATTGAATTCTAGCCAATTATTTGGAAGTGATGTGTGAGACAACATCCAGGCTTATTCATAAAAGTCTCACACTCATGATCTGAAAGCTTTTTCCCCTCTGCTCACTTCAGGCAGGCAAGATGTAGAAGCCATTAGGTAAAGATGGTGGAGATATAAGATGAAATTGAATGCTTAAGTCATTGCTGACAGAAGAGCTAAGCATCAACTAGGCATATCTGATATTACAGAATAACAGGATTTTATGAACAGAATCACTGAAATTTTAAGATTTATTTATTACAGGACCTGGAGTTAACTAATGCAAATGAGGAATATGAAAGAGAAGTTACCAGACCTGAAGCTGTGAGGAGAATCTTTATACATATTTGACAGTTATTTTAGAAGAAGAGATTATAGTTTGTTAGATAGACGCAGCTCCTACATTGTAGGTGAATGCTTTACTGCTGAGCCACTGGGGAAGCCAATGGCTTATATATATATATTTAATTTATATATATATATATATAAATTAAAATGCAGACTGTAAGGATAAAACCTTAAAACCATATTTACTTAGGTACAGTCATCAAAATAGTAGCATATTCTTATCAACAATAGTAAATGCCACAAGACAATGGAATAAATCTTCAAAGTGTGAGAAAAATAATTGTTAATTATTTACTCAGCTTAACTCTTGTTTAAGGCTGAGGGTGAAGTAAAACTATTTTCAGTCATACAAAGGCTTAGAAAAATTTTTACACACACATGGGGCTTAAATAACCACTGAAGGATTGTCTTTGGGCCAAAGTAAAAGAAGAAAGGCACAGGATTAAGCAAACAATGATAAACAGGAAAAATGCCCAAACATTCATATACAGCTATGACTGTAAAAAAGTAATTTAACTTATCAAAGTGGCAGTAGTGTAAAAGTATGACAAAATCTAGGTTTGAATTGATGCAGGGAAATGGGAAACTTTTATATCTTTTGCTATGCTTCCCGTGTAAGTACCATGGAACTCACACAATAGTAAACTTAAAATGTCCCTAACTTATGTAAATGTTCATATACAGTGTGATTCATTCCTCTCACTTCAGGGTAGGTACCTTGAATAAACTATTTTCTACTTACTGAAGGACATTTTACAGTATTATTTGTGACAGAAGAAATTGGAAACATTAAGAATATATCAGTAGGGGACAAAATAATAATGTATATTTGTAAGTTAGAATATCATTCAATGATTAAAATACATAATCTGGGTTTCTATATATCTCAGTATTACCATGTGTCTTGGGGAAAAAAGCAGGTTATAATGATGGTTTTAGAATGATGCCATTTTAGTAAAATTTTTAAAAATGTATACAAAACAATACTATATGTTGTTAAGTGTTACAGAGAGATTATATAAATATGTGAAAATAAGCAAAAGATTTATACTTATAACTCTTTGGGAAGAGGAAAGAGTAGAATAGATCTACAAATGGGGACAGAAGATTTCTACCTGACAGTTAAGAATTATGACAAAAATAATACCAGTTATCAAATTTAGGGTGTGGGTTTACAAGTGTTAATTACTTTTGTACTTTATTTTTAAAACTTCTTTAAGAGAAAGAAAAAAATCAAATACAGGAACTTTAGGACTTGCAAACCAGATGACAGTAGAATTGAAAGAAAGCCACAAAGAACTTACCGAGGGAGCTGGTTGATGGCGCTAAAACACACACAACACAGGGACACAGGAGGCAAATCATCAGAATTTGGATCCCTAAACTTTGCCTATTAGCTTCAGTCATTGCAGCCTTCCAGGAGATGAAACCCCAGCTCAGGGAGATCTACTGACTTGGTGGTGGGTACTGGAAGTCATGTCCAGCAGATTTCTCATCACTTCAATCTCTGTAAAGGTTTCGTGTTTTAGTAGATGGACGCTATTCCTATGAAACTTGTGGCTTGCATTTTTTTCTATTCTCCTTTCTGTCTCTTTTTCTCTTCTCCCTGTTTATCTCTATCACTTCCTTTTTCTCACACTCAACACTTTCTCTAATTTTTTTTTTCCTTTCCTTTCAGTCAGTTTGGAAACGTGTTACTGACAGATCATCCTAAACCAGCACTGGGTGACCTTGTCTAATGCTTAGTAGTCATATAAACCGAAAGGATTTCTCTTTCCCCAAACCTTTAACAACCTAGGGAAATGTTACTTAATGGGAAACACACTTTGTTGAGAAATAAGAGGATACTCACTGTAATTTCTGTTGTATCCCTCTAAAAACACAAAACAAAGAAAAGTCATTTTGAATTTTCTGTTTCTATAGCTTTGATATCATTATGGAGAATTACTCAGTCAACACCCTCAGTATCCAAGTAATCAAGAAACTAAGGCAAAATCTCTTCATGCCTTAGTTTATGAGCCAAATAAGGGCAGCAAAGGTTAATTAAGGTAAATAAGTATAGTGAGAAGAAATAATGAATTATATACATGGAAACACTAAAACAGTACATATTAGCTATAAAATAAGTTGAGGGCAAATAAGAGAAAAAATGGAAAAAGATTTACTCAGCTGATTGAAAATTCATGTTCAATGATGATATGCCAAATTATAATGAATCCATATGCATATACTTATTGTGATTTGATGTATATCCTTTCATCTAAAACTTGTTTTTTAGTGATTTCATAGAAATAGATTTTCTACAAAAGTTCCAGAGACATACAAAGCTTGATGTGTTATCACTATTACACAAAAATTTGTCATATTATCACTGTTATTTTCATGAAAATGTAAAAATAAATAATACTGGCACTCTAGAAGTGACTTAAATTTTGTTGCTTAATGGTATCATTTGCTATTTTACTAAGGTAGTTAAAGATCCACCCAGAACTGTGAAGACAGCATGTATTTTTTTTCCCCAGCTCTTTTTCTGAATATGAGTGCTTTGTTCATTTGTATGTGCGTTTATATGAGCTCACTTGTATGAGCATTTGTATGAGCTCATTTGTTGGAGGAGATACTTGGTTGTCTTTGTAATGTGAATTAAGACTAAAACACACAAAATCTCTGCTTTCCGTTAACGCTACTTGTTTCTTATCACTCTATGGATATTTTAAAGATAGAAAACACTACATTTGCTATAGAAGTTAATAACATTAAAAATAAATTCAGTGCATTCCATGCACAGATCATACCCTAATGTGATGAATTTTCAGGGGTTGATTCCTTTGTTTCTTAGCATTTATATTAAGAAAGGCTCACTGAATATTTAGCATTTCTGAGCTCTAAGATACTGAATTTCTCCTGAGTTACTCAGATTACTTTTGTTAAACCAATTAGAAAGTAAATAGGTGAGGAATTGAATAGCACTTGGGGAAAAGTGTCTCACAGTGTGAAGGTGAACATTTCTGAATGTCACAATCTTATATGTTACTTTGGTTTCTTATCTTTTACCTGGGTAGGTTTTATAGCCCTTCATGTATAACAGGAAACAAGTATAGATTTTCCTTTAATTTTACCATAATCTCTAAATAGACTTACCTCGATCATCATATGAAATGTCTAGAGGATTGAGGGAAAAAAATAAAGAGTCTTAATTTCTGATAAACAATTTCTGTATTAATTTCTTAGCAAGCTGGGATCTAATTTATTTACCACTTTTTGTTGAGTATAAATTCCGGAATCCTAAAAAAGAAGAGGAAAATATAATGAGATTCTACCTTGACAACTATGTCTACATTATTTTCTTATTAGGTGAAAATCTATTTACCTCTTCCTCTTTTAGATCTTGGAGAAGAAAAATCTTTTGGGGGAAAAAACAGATTAAGTTAACTAACGGCCCATCAAGAAATGTTTCATCATTAGTTTCAGTCTAGCTCCTAAGAGATTTTTATAGTTTCCCAGATATTCTCATTTTCTTTGGATTCTGTTTCAGAAAAGAAAGAGGGAATTGTCAGGGCCCTTTGCTCCTCAGTCTTGTTGGTCAGGACAGATGAATCATAGAGGTAAGAAGAGGGTAAATGGGCCAAGAGTCCAAATGTGGGACAAACAAAGTGACCAAGTTACCTTCTCTTTTCTTTCCTCTTGAGGATATGAATCTATGTGCTTGGAGTGTGTGTGTTGTGTGTCCCTACAAAGAAATAGAGTGTGCCTTGGGATCTCCTTAGAATCATTGGATTTCTGAATGTTTTATTTCAAATAAGCTTTATCATTTCACTTTATCACTCATGTCAGACCACATGTTCTGATTTGAGGGACAGAGTGTAACTCTATTTATAATAATAAACAGTATAAAATAAGCCGTTTTTTTGGTCTTAAATCAATTTTGGATAGTAAGATGTAAGAGTATGAATATTGAGTTCAGGGCCACAAATTGGCTTCACTACTCAACTCCTTCCTTTGCTAGGTGAATTTGGATAAGTATCTTAACCCTTTGTGTATCAATTTTATCTTCTAACATGAAGATAATAATATAAGTTGTGCTCACTTCTTATACTTTATACCTTATAAAGTATCCTCATGTATGCTGCTTCATGACAGCTCATGAATTATGTATTTTATCCTCATTTTACACATCCAGGTAATTGTTTCATTTCAAAAGTTCATTAACCTTTCCAAGATCTTGGGATTAACAGGACCTGGAAAGAGTTCTTTTAGTGGTCTTAAGAAGGGAACATATTTGTCTTTTCTGAGAAAAAAATACACAATCTTTCACGTATTTGTATATGCAGAAGGAGACGATTTGGCAGTTGGAAATTATAACAACAAAAGACTTGCTATGTAATAAATCATGCTCAAAGGGAGATGAGTCCATTTTATCCCCTCAGGAACACTTTCCTAGTTTTTCTCTAGTATTTCCTAGTTTATTTACCTCTGTCATCCTCATAGTCCAGCAGACCAGCACCTGGAAGAAAAAGGAGAGAGAGCTCCATGATTTTGCTTCTTGAAAATTAGTGGGGCTTTAAGACTCTGAGACCTAATGTAGACATGAACTCCTGACAACAGGTAATGATGTGGAATTAATTTACTTTGTAGGAACTAAGGACTGTGCATAAGTAGCAGGAGTAGATTATGCTAAGTGACCATGCCAGTCACCATTTTCATAATATTATCTGGGCTGAATAATAATCAAAAGGGGTCTCAAAGTCACTTTTCCCTCTTGGTTAAATTTTCCCAGTAACTTAGAAGTTCAGTTCATGGAATGATGCACTGTGCAAGGTGCTGGAAATGCAATGGTAAACAAGACAGATTTGGTCCCTGATTTATGGAAATTTCATAAATGCTTACTTTGTTTTTCTCATGGGTATAAGTACTTACTTTGTTCAGAACTGTATCTTGAGATATCAATTTCTGTGGAAAAATTAAGCAAAAATATTTCTATTAGCCACTTGTGAGAGGTGTTCTTTATCCTGTTTCAACTCTCCTCACTCTAAACCATGCTTCTTTGCTCCCCAAATGGTCTTGACATCATGCGTTACTGGTTCCTACCTTTTCTCACATGCCTCCAGTCAGCCTTGTTTTGTTTATCCTTCCATATGACTTACTATTCTCTGAGAGCTTATAGGCATTGAATATGAGAAATAAGGAGGGGATGCAGTTGACTAGAAGAAAGTGGGGAAGATGCTAAAAAAATTCCTGAAGATATCTCATGGCACATGAATAGGTCAATGTAGATCTAAGCCATATCTCTGTTTCACTGACAACTATTACTCTATATTTGTTTCTTCTTATCAGCTCCCTAATCACTAAAAATATTGAATTCTTTCCATAAAATATTAACCAGTGGTATCTACCAGTGTAGTGCCTTCTCTCTTCTGTTTTCTTTTCCTAAGGTAATTTCCCTTGGAGCTCAGATAACTTTCTTTTAGACTATTCATATTATTTCTCTTGTTAAACTCAATGTGATTTTTTTTTTCTGTAATGTGTGATGCAGGGGGAATCACTAATAGGTCAGAGATTACATGCATTGAAATGGATTTCCAGAATATTGGCAAAGTCTCTAGATATCTGGTAAATAGAAACAAACTCAGACTGAATCTTGACATTCCTGCCTCTGTGGCTTTCATAGAGAATCTCCATTTTCACTCATTGTTACTCACCATTTTGCTTGCGCCGTGTCCATCTTGTTAACAAAATAGCGAGAATGGCAAATCCCAGTAGAGTCAGGATAACAGCCAAAACTATTTCTGAAATGAAAACTCACCTGTAACCTGTTTATTTAGATGTGGTCATTATCAGAGACAATTTCTGGGCACCTCTTACGTACAGATAGACATTTCCCCTTCACCCCCTTTTGTGCTGCCTCAACTCTGTTCTTCCTTTTTCATCATCATATTGTCTCCACTTATTTTCCCTCCCATTTCTTGACTTTTCTGTTGGTCCTTTTGGTCAGATACTAAGACCCTCAGATGCTTGTACCCTTGGTTTAGAGTGGGAAATCTGACAGATTTCCTCTTCATTGAATTCCTTACTCTGTGGGCAAGAGATTGTTAGCGGAGCCAGTGGCATGTAAAGAAATCCATTGGGATGTTAGAAAGAAATATTAGTTTTATTTTTATCTAATTTATAACTTAAAATTTTATAGACTTTCTATTTTAAGGTCTGTAAAAATTTTTATAGACTTTCTGTTTTCTTTATGTATTAGTAGAGTCATATGTTCATAAAATTTGCATTATACATATATAAGAAATGAATGCTCAAAATTTTTTCATGGGTGATCAAAAAATTTGACTGTAGGTCATTCAGTTCATACTAATGCAAGTCACAGCAGAGGACAGAAATTTCTTGTTGAAAAAGACCCCTCAAACATCACTTCCCAAGTCCTTCATTATAAGATAGATATTTATGAGGGTTGCTACTGTGGTCAGTAGGAGAGAGCACAGTGAGACTTTCTAACCTTAGTGTGTGTTTATGTGTCACTAGAGAGAGAATCTTAACAAGATTATATTGCTGTGGTTATGAAGAGCATAGACTGTGGAGGCATTGGGAGAAGGAAAAAAAGGAAGGAAAGATGGAAAGAGAGAGAGATAAAACAAAGGTAGGAATGAGGAAGGATGGGAGAAAGAATGGGAGGAATGAATGAAGGAAAGAACAAACCATGAATCTGCCTATGACTGTGAAAAATGCTGAAGAAAAATGGACTTTGAAGGGCTAAGAAAATTATACCAAGATTAACGATACTGCGAAAAAGCAATATGTGAATTCACCTCAAGATGTAACAATATACCTCCAATTAGGGAAAATTAGGAAAATGTTTGCTGAGCCTTCTAGGTATTAGGTCAGAAGAGAACATTCTCTTACCAAATAACCTTCAGAGATTTGCTCTTAATAGACCACTAAAATGAAGAGCAAATAGTTTGGCCTCTATCATGAAAGTAATTTCATATCTGATATGAAATAACCCTTAGGGGAAGAAGGAACAAACACGTAGGATATTGGATCAAGCCTCTTGAATGGTGCCTGGAATGTTCTTATGTTAGACCACTAAGAAAATGCTCCTGTCTCTTCCTGAAGAAAATAAGAGGAAGAATTGAGGAAGATTATAAAGTGAGCAGTATTACAGGCAGTGAGACAAAAGACTGAGGAATTTTCCTGTTTCTCCAGAAAATAGCTATTTTCTTTGACCAATTCCAACCCCAGAAACTGAAGGAGAAATCAGCACTCACTCTACAGGTTGAATGTGGGTTTTCCTCAGGCTTCCAGAGAAATCAATGAGAGCGAAAGAAAGGATATTGAATTTGAAAGAAAGCAGGCAAGGAAGGGAGAGCAGTTGTATTAAGTTCCCAAAGAGAAGACTCCTGATCCAATAGGGTCAAGGAGGCCTCAGAGAAGGTGTCAGTCCATACCCAAGACTGCCATGTTCCAGGTATTGTCTTCAGTGGGTTCTGTGTCATCTGGATTTCTTTGTCAGAGGGTGATCAAGATAAAACAAACACCCCAAGCTCACTGTTTCTGAGCAGTATGAACTTGGATGTGGGGGAGGCCCTTGTAAACAAGGATGCAGAGAGTCACAGAGGAATCGTGTGGCTCAGGTTGATCAGACCTAAGCAGACTACAGGAAAGTTCTGGAATGTGTGTCATAACAAAGAACTAGAACTTAGAGGCAGGAGGAAAGGAAGAGGGGAACTAAGAGGCTGTAAAGATTTCAGAATACTTTGGAGGATCTTAAACTTAGGATACTGGAAAGGAACTTACTCTGTCTGGGCTCTGGAATAATTTCTAATTTTCAGGGATTTTGAGACCAGAGATTGGGCTTCATTCATCTTTATAACTCTTGAGGCAGTTAGGGACTTAATAAATGTTTGATGATTAAAAGTGAAAAACATTTCTAGGTTCCTTGAAACAAATGAAGGATGAATCATGAAGCTGAGGCAATGGAGTTAAATGTAGTAAGGGAAAGCTCAGAGGTCTGTTGTGTGAGGAAGAATGAGCCAGTGAATGGGATTTCACAAGCCATTGTGGAGGACAAAGAGAGCAGTAAAACCCCCTTTTATTAAGTGTTTAGGAACCATAAGGCTCTGTGGTGGTTTAGTTGCTAAGTTGTACCCGACTTGTGACCCCATGGACTGTAGCCTGACAGGTTCCTCTCTCCATGAGATTTCACAGGCAAGAATATTGTAGTGGGTTGCCATTTCCCTCCCCAGTATAGCTCTGTAGTAGATACTTTCCAAGGACCAACACATTTAATCCCCAATAACCTTCACAATGAAATCCTTTATTACTGAGACGTCTGAAACTGCCCAACCAGCAAACAGTAGAGTTTCTGACTCCAGAGTCCATATTCTGTTTACAAAGCCACATTTCATTTCAGTCTTGGAGGCCTACTGTCCATGGTGATGTATTTTAGACTAAGCTGTGAGGTGCAGGAGAAAGAGAGTAATGTTCTCCAGTTATAGGATTCTCCACCTACCTACTTTGTCTTCTAAGATTGACTTTGATAGTTGAAATCTTTATTTAGCTTATTTTTATGACCTAGGCTGATGAGGAAGGAGTCATTAAAAATTTTTACATATATAAATTTAAATTACTAGTATTTAAATAATCACTCCATATTTTGACTCATCTATTGACATAGATTAATTCTAGTTATATCACAAAGTTATTAGAACCACTGTAAATACAATAGTCAATTACAAATATTAACCATATAATTTTGACTGCGTTAATAGCATACCATAATAGAATTACGTAGAATTTGATTGCATAACATTTTGCAAAATAGCTTGATATCTCAGCAGCCTGGCTTCTGAATTGCAGCTATCTTACCATAGCCTGAATGTGAATATGCATAAAAATTCGAATGGAGGAAATATTATAGTTCCTTGATATTACCATTATAACTACTACCACCATCATAAATCTGAACCCAAACTCAACTAAACCAAACAAACCTAAATACCCCCTGTAATGGTTAATGTTATCTATCAACTTGGCTAGGCTGTGTGCCCAGTTATTTGGTCAAGGAGTAGTCTAGATGTTGCTATGAAGGTATATTTTCGATGTGATAAGCATTTACAATCACAAGACTTTAAGTAAAGCAGGTTATTCATAATATGGCTGGGACTCATCCAATCAGCTGAAGGCCTTAAAAGTGAAGGCTGAGATTTCCTAAAGAAAAAAGAATTATGCCTCAAGAATGCATCATAGAAACTTTGCTTGGGTTTCCAACTTGGTTGGCCTTCCCTGTGGATTTCAAACTCAAGACTGCAATATCAACTCTCTTGTGCTCTTATAGCCTACTCGCCAGCCCTATAGATTTCAGACCTGCAAGTCATCACAATTGTGAGCCAATGCCTTACAATAAATCTCTTTTTCTAGATATATTAATACTTTATTCATTCTGTTTCTCTGGAGACTCCTAACTAATACACCCCTGTGCTAAATGTCTCATTATTGTCAATATGATGTAGTGTACATGTTAAAAAAAATTATG